GACCTGATGGATGATTCAAGGACTCTCCTGCAGATACTTTCTAGCTACTGCCCAGGACTGCATTTGGAACACCTGGGAGGCCACTTGGGAAAAGCTGGAATTTACACTTCTTCAGCCAATTTTTGTTGGTTGTGATTACTTTCTTAGCAAGCTTTCTCTGAGCCAAGCAGCTCTTTTCTCATGGGAGACAATCCAGCCCTAATAAAAGGAAGTGCTTCTTTCCAGCTCTTTCTCAAGACCACCTTCCTGAAGGAGTCATAATTCTGATGTATAAGGCTTCATATACTTTGGGACGTTTCTTCCAGATTTCTAAGCAGTAAATTCTCTCCTTGGATTTTCTGCAGATATGCATTACATGTTTTTGATGTAGTTCAAGCATTATTTGAAGTCTTAGCTGAAATTTTGAATCCCAATCTCAAACAATGTTTTTAGACTGCAAAGATGTTTGTTCATTTGGAGACCACTCATTTGAATTATAAGTGATTGATTCATTTTTCTTCACTGAACTTTTTAAGTTGTCCTTGTTTTTCTCCTTCAAGCCTTATTAAGAAAAAACAGCATCAATGTATTTCTTCAAATCGACTTCTAATTGGCAGTTTTCTGATTTTCGCTTTGTCTGAATTTCAAGTTGCTATCATCCACATAATCTCTAAAGAGAGCAAGCAAATTTGTCTTTAGTGTGGCTTTAGAGATTTTAAAGCCTCTTTCATTTGTGTTTTCAAGCTGTCAAGCATTGATTTCTGTTCCCCACACTTTTTCTTCCATTGCAGTTTCTTAGAATAGCAGCTTTAGGCTTTCTTAAAAATGAGTGTTTTTATCCCAGCCAGCCATGAGGGATGTTCTAAGGGATGTTTTTCTGAGATGCTCTTAAGATGTTTTGTCATCAGTCACTTGAGATTGAGGGATTTTGCTGCATCTTTGAGCAATTGTGTCTGTCTTTAAAGTTAAGCCATGAAATGAAAGTTTAGGGGACTCCCTTCTGTTCTTTTTGGAAAAGGTTTACAATGTTCTCAAGTGTTGGGTGGACCAGTCCAGATATTTTTAAGTGCTGCAAAACTCAATGTTTGTGATTTCAGAGCACTGGTCTTCAGTAGAGATGACTTGAGAGTTTCATTAGCTTGTGTAATGAGTCTGGTCTCTTCACTTACTTTAACCCCAGGCAGAAAATCTTTGGTATGGATCTTTTTTTTTCTCCTTAAAGCATGCCTGCTCTAACTATAAAAACAGTCAAGAAGCCCATATCATAATCTCCAGTGAAAACACTTGTTTCAAACATCAGACAACACCATCTGAAAGCTAATACAGAACAGGAGTAGGAGGCAAGGCCAGGCTCTATAAAACAAAACTCTCTAACTTTGCTTACTGTACAAATAGAGAGTGATAAGTGATATTCTTTGTCTAGTACATTTGGATAAGGAGAAAACATTGACTGCAGCCACCCAGGCACCCAAGCCATATGTTCTAAAGACGTGGAGGATTGAGGCTTAGACTAGGACTTTTGGTGAGGAAAGCAGCTGGCCAAATGTCTGTTGAAGTTTACTTTGTTTAGAATTCATTTATTTGTTTGAAAAGGGAAAGAGACAGCTTATTTTAAGTGGTAAAACTGGACAGAGTCAGAAACAGTAGGAACATATTTCAGTATTTTGTTCAATGACTTTTTTCAACGTTTATAAATGTTTATTCGGTGTTTTTTCTCTTCAGTACAATCTTGTCTTTTGTAGAAAATGAAGCAATTATGCTACACTGGTGTTTCCGATGACACAAGGTGATTTTAGGTAGTTTACTGACTTGGCATTAAATAACACTGAGTCACATAGCAAGAAAATAACTTCTTTCTCTTGCAAATCTTTTAATTATGTTAAAAGCTCTTTGATTCTTACTAAACTCCCTCTTAAATAAAAACAGCAGTTCTCAGGTTGATAGCCTCTGCAAACATTGGTATCCTTCTAGGTTTAAATAAAAATACTTTTGTCATCTTCATTTTTGTAGTTCTCTTCTACTTATGGAAAATGATACCAATTCTCCATTTAGTAAGCCAAAAAAAAATTTTAAATGAGTGACTGAAAGAATAAATATCAGATAAATAATAGTATATATGATATGTAGATGTCAACAAAAAAAATTTTTAAGTTATTATGCACCATTCCACTATTCCACACCATTCCAGAATCTGTGATCCTTCATGAATACATAAATATGTTTTTTGAGGGTATTTGGGGTTTGGTTTTTTTTTTTTTTTTTTGAGAGGGCTTTGACAGCATAAAGGTGCTAAATTACCATTGGAACATTTAAAGCAAGACATCAGCCAAACTGTAGTATCTTATTTAAATCCTTATACCACCTTCTGGTTTAGCAAAAACATTTTGTCATAAATTGTGATAGCATTGAGTCTTTTTTTTTTTTTAAGATTTTATTTATGCATGAGAGACACAGAGACACAGGCAGAGGGAGAGGGAGAAGCAGGCTCCATGCCTGACCTGGGACTCGATCCCGGATCTCCAGGATCACGCCCTGGGCTGAAGGCAGCACTAAACCACTGAGCCACCCGGGCTGCCCAGCATTGAGTCTTTGAAGTGAAATGTAAATAAAACTGCATTACATGTTACTTAAGATTCAGGATTTCTGCCATGTGTTATTGTAGAATCATGGAATTTTAGAATATAAAGAGCCTTTTTAAAAATTTTTTAGAACTTTATATTTTTTTAATTGAAGTTCAATTTGCCAACATAGAGCATAACACCCAAGGTCACCCTGTCAGGTGTCTCCCTCAGTGCCCATCACCCAGTCACCCCAGCCCCCTGCCCACCTCCCTTTCTACCAACCCTTGTTCATTTCCCAGAGTTAGGAGTCTCTCATATTTTGTCACCCTCACTAATATTTCCCACTCATTTTCTCTCCTTTCCCTTTATTCCCTTTCACTAATTCTTATATTCCCCAAATGAATGAGACCATATAATATTTGTCCTTTTCTGATTGACTTATTTCACTCAGCATAATACCCTCCAGGTCAGGTCCATCCACGTCGAAGCAAATGGTGGGTATTTGTCATTTCTAATGGCTGAGTAATATTCCATTGTATACATAGACAATATCTTCTTTATCCATTCATCTTTGATGGACACAGAGGCTCCTTCCACAGTTTGGCTATTGTGGACATTGCTGCTAGAAACATTGGGGTGCAGGTGTCCCGGCGTTTCACTGCATCTGTATCTTTGGGGTAAATCCCCAGCAATGCAATTACTGGATTGTAGGGTAGTTCTATTTTTAACTCTTTGAGGAACCTCCACACAGTTTTCCAGAGTGGCTGCACCAGTTCACTTTCCCACCAACAGTGCAAGAGGGCTTCCCTTTCTCCACATCCTCTCAACACTGGTGGTTTCCTGTCTTGTTAATTTTCCCCATTCTCTCTGGTTGAGGTGGTATCTCATTGTGGTTTTGATTTGTATTTCCCTGATGGCAAGGGATGTGGAGCATTTTCTCATGTGCTTGTTGGCCATGTGTATGTCTTCTTTGGTGAAATTTCTGTTCATGTCTTCTGCCCATTTCATGACTGGATTGTTTGTTTCTCCAGTGTTGAGTTTAAGAAGTTCTTTATAGATCTTGGACACTAGCCTTGTATCTGATATGTCATTTGCAAATACCTTCTCCCATTCTGTAGGTTGCCTTTTAGTTTTGTTGATTGTTTATTTTGCTGTGCAGAAGCTTTTTATCTTGATGAAGTCCCAATAGTTCATTTTTGCTTTTGTTTCCCTTGCCTTCATAGATGTATCTTGCAAGAAGTTGCTGTGGCCAAGTTCAAAAAGGGTGTTTGTTGCCTGTGTTCTCCTCTAGGATTTTGATGGAATCTTGTCTCACATTTAGGTCTTTCATCCATTTTGAGTTTATCTTTGTGTAGGGTGTAAGAGAATGGTCTAGTTTTATTCTTCTGCACGTGGCTGTCCAATTTTCCCAGCACCATTTATTGAAGAGACTGTCCTCTTTCCAGTGGATATTGTGTTCTGCTTTGTCAAAGATAAATTCACCATAGAGTTGAGGGCCCATTTCTGGGTTCTCTATTCTGTTCCATTGATCTAGGTGTCTGTTTTTGTGCCAGTACCATACTGTGTTGATGACCACAGCTTTGTAGTACAACTAGAAATCCGACATTGTGATGCCCCAGCTCTGGTTTTCTTTTTCAATATTCTCCTGGCTATTCGGGGTCTTTTCTGATTCTATACAAATCTTAAGATGATTTGTTCCAACTCTCTGAAGAAAGTCCAAGGTGTTTTGATAGGAATTGCATTAAATGTGTAAATTGCCCTGCATAGCATTGACATTTTCACAGTATTAATTCTTCCACTCCATGAACATGGAATATTTTTCCATCTCTTTGTGTCTTCCTCAATTCCTTTCAGGAGTGTTCTGTAGTTTTTAGGGTATAGATCCTTTACTTCTTTGGTTAGGTTTATTCCTAGGTATCTTATGCTTTTGGGTGCAATTGTAAATGGGATTGACTCCTTAATTTCCCTTTCTTCAGTTTCATTGTTAGTGTATAGAAATGCCACTGATTCACAAAGAGCCATTATTGACACTTTACTGATCAGATGAATCTGACTGTAATTTGGTAGGTCAATCAACTCTGGTTTTTTGTTTGTTTGTTTAAAGATTTAATTTATTTATTCATGGGAGACACAGAGAGAGAGAGGTAGAGAGGGGGAGAAGCAGGCTCCCAGCAGGGAGCCAGAAGTGGAACTCAATCCTGGGATTCTGGGATCATGCCCTAAGCCGAAGGCAGATGCTCAACTACTGAGCCACCCAGGCATCGCGAGCTCTTTGTCTTAAACCTATAGAGGTATCCTTTGTGAGTACTCCATGGCACAGACTCATCTGCAACAATTCTGTTAGAGTTCATGTTGGTCAAAAGATTGCTTCTTCAAAAATCAGGATAGTAGTTTGTTAGTTATTAGCCAAATTTCAACTAAAAAAATTGAATGGTCCCAGAACACATATTTAAATTTAAATTCAGATAATAACACCATAGATTTATTAGAATTACTACTAGCATAAATTGTATCAGGCATTACAACGTTAGTTGACAAAATTTTTTCCACTTTAATATTTCTTATCATTTCCTCAATTAGTATTGCTAGTTGCTCTACTAAGAATTTAACAGCAAGCTTATTATTAGAGATAATGTACACTGTTTCTATGGTATTCTGAAGCAGAACATCAGGTATCCACATTAAAATCCAGCAGAGGGATCCCTGGGTGGCGCAGCGGTTTGGCGCCTGCCTTTGGCCCAGGGCGCGATCCTGGAGACCCGAGATCGAATCCCACGTCGGGCTCCCGGTGCATGGAGCCTGCTTCTCCCTCTGCCTGTGTCTCTGCCTCTCCCTCTCTCTCTGTGACTATCATAAATAAATAAATAAATTTTAAAAAATAAAATAAAATAAAATAAAATAAAATAAAATAAAATCCAGCAGAAGTGTGAAGGAAATCATTTAAGCACCTCTTGGCATTCTCACGGCAAATAAGGTGGTGGTGACTGTTCTGCAGAGAGTTTCTCATAGGCAGGTGGTGCATTGGGAACCTGTGAAAATGAGAAAGGGAGAGTATGGGCTTGGCAACAGTGCAGAGGTTTCTGGAAGAGGGGTGAAGTTAGTGGTCAGCATCATATGTATACTACTTCTCTGGACTGAACCTTGTAAGTGCTCGCATCTAATTCCCACCCAACAAGATAATCATTGTTAAATTTCATAAGTGTGTATGTTGAAATAGCAGGAGGGGGAAGAGTAGAGAAAAATAGAGCTAATGGCCTTTCCAAAATCTCAAAAACTTATTTATATCTTCATTATTCTTGTCAGGACAAGTCCCAAGCCCTAAATAGTGAATTCTTGAACACTGTTTAAACCCACTAATATACATATATACCATATATATAGATCTCTGTAGTTGTGTCTAAAGGCCAGTGCTATTATCAGTACAGCACAATGTGTTAGGCCTTCATTTAATGTTTACAACAATTCTAGGAGTATTTTCATTGTTTTTATGTTACAGGTTGGAAAACTGAGGTCAAGTCATTTGTCCAAGGTCACACAACTTCACAGTAATTTGGCTCCAGAGTCTGTTCTTTCAACCATTAAAATATACTGCATCTGTACCAGTGCTGTATAGAGTATAGAAATAGAAAATACAGTATACCATATATCTGGTTTTAAATTTTCTAGTAGCCATATTACAAAAATAAAAACAAACAGGTAAAATTAATCTTCATAATATATTTTATTTAATCCCACATGTCAAAATATTATCATTTCAACATGTAATTGATATAAAAATCATTAATGAATTATTTATATTCTTTTCCTCAGACTAAGTCTTTAAAATCCAGTATGTATCAGCACATCTTAATTCAAACTACTATGTTACAAGTGCTCAATAGCCACATATGGCCAGTGGCTACTCTGTTAAGACTGCACAGCTTATTCAATTAATAACAGATGTTTTTTTCCTCCTCCCTTAGATATATCTACATCCAAAGATACAGATGCAGTGAAACGCTGGGACACCTGCACCCCAATGTTTATAGCAGCAATGTCCACAATAGCCAAACTGTGGAAGGAGCCTTGGTGTCCATCGAAAGACAAATGGATAAAGAAGATGTGGTCTATGTATACAATGGAATATTACTCAGCCATTAGAAATTACAAATACCCACCATTTGCTTCAACATGGATAGAACTGGAGGGTATTATGCTGAATGAAGTAAGTCAATCGGAGAAGGTCAAACATTATATGGTCTCATTCACTTGGGGAATATAAAAAATAGTGAAAGGGAATAAAGGGGAAAGTGGAGAAAGTGAGCGGGAAATATCAGTGAGGGTGACAGAACATGAGAGACTCCTAACTCTGGAAAAAGAACAAGGGGTGGTGGAAAGGGAGGTGAGCGGGGTGATGGGGTGATTGGGTGATGGGCACTGAGGGGGGCACTTGACAGGATGAATACTGGGTGTTACACTATATGTTGGCAAATGGAAGTCCAATAAAAAAATACAAATATATATATATATATCTACATTCAGAAAAAGGCAAATAAGACATAAAAAAAGACATAAAACAAAAAAAAAAATACTATATCCAGAATTGAGTTCTTTCTTTGGATCTTACATATGTAAGGGATCTCATCATGGACCCTGGAAAATCTGGCTATAACAGGACACAATTTAAGAAAATCTCTGTGCTTCCATCTTTTTTTTTATCTTTGTTATTGTTTAATTTTTTATTATGGTAAAATACAGATAATATAAAATTTACCATTTTAATCATTTTAAGTGTAGAGTTCAATAGCATTACATATATACACATTGCCCTTGCTTAAGTTGAAATAATTTTATTCATTGGAATTAAAAGCAGCCACACAATAAACACCAAGATGCAGGATCTCAACCTACCACAAGTTCACAATTACTCTCTTGAAAAGGCAGTTTGCTGTGCTGGTGACCAAAACCCTCATGTGGACATCTTCCTGTTAAGGTACTTTGAGTGCCAGCATGAATACTTTTGTCCTGAAATGTGAATGCATGAAGGTCAGTGGGTGAGAAAAAAGAATGGAGTTCTGTAAGAAAAGAGAAGAAAACTGAAGTTATTTTTAAGAATAGGTTTGTGTTTTTTTTTTAAGAATAGGTTTATTTTTGTAAAAGAGTTTATTTATTCATGAGAGACACAGAGAGAGAGACAGAGACACAGGCAGAGTGAGAAGCAGGCTCCCCTTGGGGAGCCTGATGCAGGACTGGGTCCCAGGACCCCAGGATCATGACCTGATCCAAAGGCAGACACTGGAAGGATATATACACAGGGCCTGGTCTTGACGTAAGGATGCGCGAAGTTTGTTTTCTTCCAAGTCCCAGCAATATACTGCAGGTAAAGTATTCAATGCATTTTCTCCCTTTACCTTAATTATCACTGTTGTTTTTCTGTTTTGTAAATTTCTCACTTTCCATGGGATAGGAGTATGATCTACTCACTCAGCTCACTGCTAGTTCTTTGCATTTGCATTAAAACTTTAGCATGCATTTTAAAAGGCAGCTTCTTGGGTCTCACCCTCAGAGAGGGTCCTAGAATCTGCATTTTAGCAAGAGCTCCAGATATGAGTGCAGGGGCCCCTGACCATTGAGAAACACAACATATGAAACATGAATATATATCGCTTCTCGGCCTTTTGGCTAAGATCAAGTGTGAAACATGAATATAAACTGAGCTGTCAAGGGGGTCCTCAAAATTCTTCTCCAAGAATCAAAAAGCATTATGTCTTAAACCTCCAGGTGAAAGGATAAAGTTAGTAAATGCAAAAAACAACTTTCATCCCCTTACAAATCATCTTCCTGCAGAAGCAAGTTGCTACTAAAAGCAATCTTTCAAAAGATGTTTTTCGGGGCTAAAGGGAATTGTGAGTCAGTGGAGACATTTTAGGAGACCTTAATTCCAACCAATCTTGCTACCATTCTACGTTCAGAGAAAGTGGGGAAATAAACATTTCAAAGCTTAAAACTCAGGTGTCTGAAATTTGCATTTATTGTCATTTGTGTCCTTTGGCTTACCATTGTTATTTTTTAAGTAGGCTCCATGCCCAGTGCAAAGTCCAATGGAGGGCTTGAACTCTTGACCCTGATATCAGTAGCTGAGGTGAGAACAAGAGCCAGACACTTAATTGACTGGGCCATGTTGGGTGTGTAGCCTATTTAAAGAAAAAAAGAAAGAAAGAAAGGGGGGAAACCTCCAAAGAGAGGCAGGGAGGTAATTATGTAATTAAATGCAGTATTCAGTGCACTATTGTACATAATTTTGCCTAAGTTTCTTAAACTACGGATTCCAACCCAGCTTTTCAAGACTAAGTCTCAAAACGAGATTTTAATATAATTTTAAAAAATAAATGACAGCATTTTTAGATGCCATGAGAACCAGAGAATTTAAACACAGCTCCATCTCATAAAAATTCCAGAAACTCTATAAATCACTGATCTAGACCTAGAGGAATGGAGACATGGTAGGTTGAACTTGAACCTTACTAAGCAAAATGTCCATAGTGTCTGAGCTTATGACATTAAAGACTGCCTATTATAGCTTAATTAAATTTAAGATTAGAGTGTTGAAGCAGAAAGTGAAAAAAATTGTATTTTTGTCCAGAAGCATCAAGCTAGTAGTTGTTGACAATTAGGGTACTAACACATTGAGTTTGTAGAGCTTTTATTCCTTAAAAGACTAAACTATTATGTGTTTTTGTACACAAGCACAGAATTAAATAAAAATATAGAAGAAAATATATATTGAATAAAGACACATCACATGTGCCTAGTATAGAATAGAGCAAATGAGGCTCAGGGAAGTTAAAATCTAAGGTCACCAAGCAAGTCAGTGACAATGAGACCAAATGCTGATGCCATATAATTGAGTGGTTGCTATATTCCAGGCACTGGAGGTACAAAGATGTCTAAGAAATATTCTCTGGTCCCAGTTCATATGTGGGGGAAGAAAAGGAGTAAAAGAAGCATAAAGTAAATAACCAATTACAAGACAATGTTAACTCCATGCTAGAGGCACAAATGGAGTTCTGTGTCAGAAGGCAAAGTCCCTCCCTAATCTGTTGTGGACAGCCCAAATGAGGTATCATATGAGCACAAGGTCCATCTCTAACCTCTTAGCCCAAAGCTTTCCTATGGTACTTGGTTTGGAATCTTATTCAGACTCTGCGATTCTCCTTTCTGCTAAATGTCAGTATACTGAAGGGCTACTGCTCAGTTTCTGTGTCATCCCCCAAACCTGCTATGTCTTTCATGATTTGTATTTGGGGCACTCTGGCAAGATGGGCATTAGGAAAGGGACACTTAGGACTGCCCAAACTTCCTGACAAGGAGAAGAAGTCAAAGCTAGAGCTCTCACCTTCCTCTACTCCTCTTCAGACTGCCAAACTCCAAATCCCCACCTACACCAACCCTCCCCTCCACCACACAACCATTTTGCCTAAATTGCTGAGTGAGGAATGGGACTTTCCAACATCTTTTGTAAAGATACTTTTATTCCATTATGTATCAACTCAGTTTTCAGATGTGTAATGAAAGAGGGGGAGGGAAAGCTGGAGGGAGGGAGGGAGAGAGAGAGAAAAGGAAGGAGGGGGAAGGGGAGAGAGAAATTGCAATTCTTTTTTCATTCCACTGCTCACAATGGATAATGCCTCTGGATGCTTAAGACCTAAGGTGCTACCCCGCTTTGAAGTGAAACTTGTAGTTCTTACAGTTTAGCAACTCAGTTGATGTTTCCCATTTATGGAAGACACTGCTACTCTAAGACTAGACTGTGTAATTTGTTAGCTTCCTGTTCAAATGGGTAAAGAAGAAAAAATTCTTTTTTTTTTTTTAGAAGAAAAAATTCTGTCAAAACTACATTGGCTATCAAAAGAGAATGGACCTTGTTAATAACCCAGTGGTCCTTTGTGCTGCTGAGGGGTGGATGGTTTACTTAATGTACTGATGGCTGGATAGGTCCTACTTATGCTAAATGTTTGGTATAACAGAGTTAGAAGAACTTGGAACTCCCAGGGAAGCTGGGAGGAAAGGGGTAAAGCAGCAAGGTGAGATGAGCAGCCACTAAATGGAGGAACAGAACCCCTGAGAATCCTCAGGATGATTGATAAGACCTGGAGCAACTCACATGCTGCTGTTTGCTGTGCAAAAGGATCAGAACCCCTACCCCTGGGCTCCGCAAATTATCAGTGCTCAGCATTTAAGTTTGCTCTGAGTGAAACCAAAGAGGTGGGCCAAGTTTCTGTTGGAGTTCATATCTAGGGAAAAGCAAAGGAAAAGCTGCAAGAAGAAGAGAAAGACTCGTCAGAACCAGAAATGAGAGTTAAAGGTGATCATAAGAATGTTATCTTACTCCCCAGAAAATCAGAGAAAGAAGGGCAAGGGTGTTCTGGATCTGTAGGGATCCCAGCAGCAGAAAGTTTACTAACCCTTAAGCTTCTGTATCCACTTCGTCTTCTACAATACCAACAGCCAATGAGCAGCAAAATTCCCAGGATCACTGTCAAGATTCCAATCCCTGCAGCCCTGGCCCAAGAGATAGACAAATCCATCTGGGTACAGAAACCTTGTTCTAGATTGTGATGAATCATGCATCAGTCTTCAATCTTCACAGGAGCTTTCCCATCCCAAAGCCACATGTTCCATTTCCCAAGTAGTTTCCCACCCCCACCCCACCTGACCCCACACTGAACACCCACCAACCTCCAGCACCTGTTTCGAGGGACAGGAGCTTCTTTAGAAGCCTCTCCGATGTGTGCCCACATAAGTAGTGCTAACTGGCATGGCCTAACCATCCCAGTTCCAGGCACAAGAGGTGCAGGAGCAACTAACCCATATGTGAACAATGTATTTACAGAGACTGAGTTATCTTTTCTTTTTATCAGGGCATTTCCCCCCAACTATCAGTCCACAAAAAGGATTGATACTTAAATTAACTTAAGATTGCTATGATGAACATTTTACATGTATTAGATTATTTAATTCTCACAACAGCCCTGTAAAGTAGGCACCACTTATCATCCCCATTTCACAGGTGAGGATATAGATTCAGAGGTTAAGTGCTTTGCTGATGGTTATAAAGAGGTAGGACAAGATGGAGCCAGGATTTGAACTTGAGTTTGTTTCATTTGTGTTTGTGTCCTCTTTGCCTGAAACTCATCCCCTCACTCCTTGCCCATGACTAATATATTCACATTCAAAGACTCAGCATCACCCCTCCCAGGATGATGGCAACCTATTCTGGCTTCTCTCATAAACAGCCCTACAGTGGTAATTGGCAGTGTGCCTACCTGTCTCTTCTAGGAAAGGAGTTCCCAAATGAGTTGTTTGGTTTGGGATTTGTTTTCACTTTGTGTCCTCAATGCATAGAAAATGTCAGGCACTCTGGTGTTTCAAAAAATATTTCTTGAAGATGGATAGATGGATGAATAGACAGTTGGATGGATGGCCAAACATATTTTTAAAAATGAACAAATGAATTATGAGTGATTACAAATCCACATCTGCAAAATTAATGAGCCATTTAATATCTTCTTTAAAATAATTATGTATAAATATGTGGATTTGGGGCATGATGCTAGTTCCAACATCATTATTTTTTTCCATTTGCAATTGGAACTGAAGATCTGAAATACCATCTTTAAAAATCCATCCTTCCTTTGTCCTACTGCTTAATTCTCTGTCACTTTCACCTCTTGTGGGTATTGACACTCTAGTGAGAATGAGGAAATCCACAACTTTCCACACAGCAGGTTTTGGTTGGAGATAAAGAAAAGGTAATGAAGAGAAGGAGAGAGCATTTAAAGCAGCCACCGAGGGTTAGAACTGGCACATCTTGACTGAAGGGGTGGAAGTAGGGCTTGCAGGATTTAGAGATATCCAAGACTAACCTATTGCATGGGGATACCATAGCCCAGCCCAGCTAGGGTATCCCAGGACATCTGACTCATGTTTACATTCAGCTAGGCAAGCTCCTATCTGACCTCTGCTTGCTCAAGGAATCCAGTTCAGGATGACCAAGGACCAAACCAGATGGGTCAGTCCTTGCTGCTTACTCTGTTATCACCTAAGTGATCTGGAAAAGACATTTCAGAATGGAACTAGAGATAGAACTCTGGGGATGCTGAGACAAGAGGCCTGATCTCTCCAGCCTGCTTGGCTGCCATGTCAGAGACCCCAGCTGACATTTGAAGTCAGAGATTGCAGATATTAGGTAAGCACCTCCCAACTAACCAGGCATGGATTATTAAAAGATAGAGCATTGGGATTCAATCATGGGGAGAAGTGTCTGGGCTGAACCTACAGCAAAGTTGTAGCATCACTGAAACTGTTCTGCTCCAGCAGCAGGAGCAATCTGGGCATCTAAACAAGCCTTTTGAGCCCTGTGTCCAGTGGCCCCTGGGAAAGATTAGTTACTGCAAAGGCCCTGGAAACAGGTCTGAAAGCTGTGCTTTCCCTGTATAACAATTAGCTAACATCTGCCTGATTTTCTACATCACAACATGATCAAAGTGGAAAGTGCTGTGACTTGCTAAAGAAGGGTTCTGCAGAGCTGGGTGATATAGGAGATTGAGCAGCTGAGGGTGAATCAAAATATAGCTGAGGGTTCTCCTGGAGAGATCTTTGTCCTGTACCAACTACCTGACCACCTCCTTCTCAAGGTAGCTGAGGCATCAAGTCTATCCTGTCCATCTCTAAACCAGTTGGGTGACAGTGCTGGATAAAAACTCTGACCTAATTATGCAGGTCAGTCCACCCACTTTGTGGATCATGAAGCTGAGACTCATCAACATCACCACCACCTTAGCAGCTACTCTGTCCTTCATTGAGCACTGATTTGTGCCAAGCATTGTGCCAAGCACCCCACATATAGGCTTTTATTTCATCCTCACAGTAATCCTCTGAGGTAGATACGATGTTCATGTCACAGCGGGTATCCCCATAATTTTAAACTGGTAAAATGCCCAATGATGCACAAGTGGTAAGTGGCAGAACCAGAATTCACAGTGACTGGCCTAAGATACCCAACCAGTGCCTTTCCTGCCATATCCCCCTTTCCTGATATGAAGCTGTCACAAGGAGCATTCAGTGGGCTCTTGTGACTGAAGGCAGCTGATTCAATTCCTGGCATGCTTGTGCTCCAATTTCACCCACCAAGGCTGTGGTTATCCCCTTGGATATCCTAACACAGACAGAGCTCTGTTCCAGTTCCTTATGCACAGTCACATTGCATTCACACACACACACTCAGTGATTGATAGATTAGAAAACATCAGGATATGCCAGACACACCAAAATAATGCAGTTTGCAGCTGGGCAGGACTCTCTAGAGTATCACCAAATGCCTCCTGCAGCAGAGTCACCTGAGGAGGATGTTAAAGTGCAAACTCTGAGCCCCACCTCTTGACCTACCAAATCAGCCTCTCCGGCAGAAATGCCTGGGAAACTGCATTTTACAAAACCTCCATGAGTGACGCATGACGTCTCACTTCTTACTAAAGTTTTACAGAGATACAGTTTGTTGAATCATCATACAGAAACTGAAACAATATCCTACTTAATATCATGTGTACTCTAAACATACCCCGAAGAATACATTTTTTACTCTTGGGATATTTTTTCAGAAAATCTCCCCATTCCCAACTGACCATGCAGGGATGTTAGAAAATCCCACTGGCATCTTCTGAGGAAATGCTCCCAGCCTAAACTCTTCCTCAGTGCCTTTAATGAGTTCCACATCTTATTTGCCCCTGCTAGTTCACTCTAGTAAAGATTTTTCAATAGTTCCTTCCCCAAGGGAGAGCAAATTTGCAGGAATTTCTGACTAGATCACTTAAGACATGGTCCAAATAAAAACCCGGTACCTTATTTGTCCTGTTGGAGTCTTCACTCAGAGGGTGAAACCCAATCTAGAGCACCATACTCTTGTGTACTCTAGTACATGCAGAATGTGTCCCAGCAGCCTGTCCTACCACTACATCACTTACGCTTGCCAAAATTACTCTTGAGCCTAATTCTCCACTACACTGTAAAATTTTTTTCAAAGATAAGTATAGCATCTTAGACTGACTATACATTGCTTAGCACTTAGAAATGCTGAATCCTATAAATATTTATTTTAAATTAATTCATACTTTTAAACACCTTTCCTTAGAATAAAACTATGATGCAGAAATAACAAGCGGGGTCAGAGTGCAGCTGCACATACCTGCCCATCATTCTTACTAGCTCTTTGGCAACTCACCTTTGTTCTATCCACAGGCCACCTATAGGAGCCCAAGTGGAGGAGACAGAACAAGGCTTGAGGAAAGAGTCACCTTGCTCCCAGATAGATGTTTTCCAGCTGGGAACCTACAGTGAAAGCCAAATAACCAAGAATACAGACCCCCCAAAAATGCCAAGATCCAACTTCTTATCATTCCTATCTCCTAGCCTGTATGGCCTCAGAAAAGCTTGAGTGAGCCCCTTGTAGGACATGGGGTCCCATCACCTCATTGCCAGGGTTTTTTAATCTCTGGAGAAATGAACACTAGAGAGATTTACTGACAGACATATGCTTGTGGAAATCAGTAGGCTGTCTGCAAATGGCAAACTGGAAACCCCACTGGATCCAATTTTGAACTTACTCTTCAGCTGTGATGTAGGAGTGGTTATGCCCCTTCTTGGGATAACCAAGGATGAAGTGAGCCTCTTCTCTTGGCATCTTGTGGGATAAGGCCACAGAACACCTAATAGCAGAGTCAAACAGGCATCATTTAACACATTCAGAACATCCTCACACAGCATTCCATAAATATCTACAAAAAACTCTCTCCAGGTGAACATTAATGATAGCTGGGACCCTCTGGTTTCTCTCTATGAGAGAATTTGTACCTGCTTATTTCATTGATATCCAGTGGAAATTGCTCAGGTTTCTAACTGCTTCCACCAACTGAAAATTGAGTTCAAAGAAGAAACTATAAACAAAAGCAAAAACTTTGAAATTGAGTTATTATTTGGGGGGGAGGAATGCTCTTCATTTCCTATCAATTTACTGTACACCATAAGCTTGTAGAGAAACAAAATACATTCTTTAAAGATGACATTTTATTATTTTTATTATTTTTTTATTTTTTTAGAGAGGTAAGAGGAGAGAGGGAGAGCGAGAATTTTAAGCAGGCTCCATGCTGCATGTGAGGCTTCATCTCACCACCCTGAGATCATGACCTGAGCTGAAATCAAGAGTCGGATGCTTAACAACTTAGTCATCCACACACCTCCACAAAAGGCATTTGTATTCATTCCTTACTTTCACTGACAGAAGACTAAAAGGAGTTAATAAAAGGAGTTATTTATCTCCAAAGGTATTAATTTGATGTCAATCTTTGGTCAAATAGACGGTTATGATCACATATGAGTATGTAGCTGAGCACAGCATCCTCCAAGTCCACCTTCTAACAAAGGAAATGCCTGGGCTTGTCCATGTTCACCCTGCCCAAACCAAGATAAGGACTCCCATAACCTGACTTCGCCTATTTGTTTCTCTCCCGCTAAAATAAATTTCTGCTCTCCTTCATTCAAGTTTCATGAATAGGGCTTAAATATGTATGTATGGTATCATACACAGAATATACATAATATGGAATATATATAATACAAAGTTTAAAACCATAATACAAACAAATAGACAAAAAGCTCATGAACTGCAGAGGTCATGATTAAAGAGTACTGGTTGAAAACCAACAGCGATTTTTCTTCTCTCATTGTCATTGTGCATTTTTCTTCTCTCTTATTCTTATGATTTTCAAAGATCTGATAATAGAATTATATTAATGAGCCTGTTTAAAACAATAGGAGAGAAGTGGAAGAACAGAGTGGGGCATTTGCCACACGAACCCTTTCTATTGAGGCATTTTCTGTGTAAATTTTCATTCTTTGTTGTAAAAAAGAAATTATAGTTGAACTCACTGATCATCTCAGGTGAATGATGTAGGGGTGAGACCTATGTTCAAAATTACAGCTACGACACCCAATTCTGCATTAAATTGTTTTTGTAAATCTATGTAAACCTCTGCAAACAGTGTAGGGACAACAAATGTACCTCATCCCAAACCAAGAAAAGCAATCTTTCAAGTGAATACACAAGCAGAATCACAAGCAGGATGCAGCCTAAATAACTGCTCTTCCTGGTTCTCTGCTTTGCTTCTTGGCAGTCTAGGAACAGGATCTAGGAGGAGACTTCATGAGCCCTCAGAAGCTGGAGACTTACATTGAGGAGAAATTTTGCTATTAGCCAAGCACTGTGAAGCAATAAGGGAGGGAGGAGGAGCCCACCAGAATCCCCCAAAACCTGTTCTCTTGGACACGGCCATGCTCTTACCTTCCTGGATGGGATTGTTCTGTCTGTTGGCTGGCTCTGTGTGTGACAATTGCTTCTTTGGCTCTTAATCTTTTAAACTGCTTCTCCTGGTCTCCAGTCCCATGTTAGTCATGAGTTTGGATTTCTGACAGGGTCATCTATGATTGCTTAATTGGCATGAAAGAAACTGCCTTCATTTCTCTCCTCAAAAAATCATTGTTCATTCTGGCCTCTGTTTTTCCCAGTCTCAGGATTTCCTCCTAGAGAAGCCATTTATTTTAAATATTGGTCACTCCTTCATAGGATTGCCAGAAAAAATATTGAATATTTGAATTTCAGAAAAACAGTGAATATTTTTTAGTATAACTATGCCCCATGCAACATTTTGTAGTATAATTAAGCCCTGCTTACTGGAAGAGACATATTTTTACTAATAAAATATTTATGGGGTGCCTGGGTGGCTCAGTCAGTTAAGCATCTGCCTTCAGCTCAGGTCATGATCTCAGGGTTCTGGGATCAAGCCCCATGTCAGGCTCCCTACTCAACAGGGAGTCTGCTTCTCCCTCTCTCTGCTTCTCCCCTCCCCCCCACTCATGTTCTCTGTCTCTCACTCTCTCACAAATGAATATAAATCTTAAAAAAAATGTTTGTTATCTGAAATTCAAATGTAACTGAGCACCCTATACCCTATACCCTCCCTCATCTGCTCTCCAAAGAGCCTTTGGTCTCAGACCTGGAGACCATCTAGTCCCACTCTCTCCTGATAAAGAAGAGGAAATAGAAGATCCCTAAAGCCTCCTAAAAAAATTTCCTTATGTTAATTGGACAGTTACATAGTCAGGGCCAGGGTCCCCAACAAGAAAATATGGAGTCAGAACAGCTAAAATAAAATAGCACTGACCTCCTGCTTTACAGCTTAGACAGGACGGCATGGACATTCTGCTTTGCAGCTTTTGCAGGAATGACTTCTGCAAAGTGTCCTAAAATAAGACAATTAACCACAAAAACATTTGCCAATATCACAGACAAGGAGCAGCTAGATCTAAGCCCCCAGATGTCAGAAGAAGAAGAAGAAGAAGAAGAAGAAGAAGAAGAAGAAGAAGAAAAGACCATTAGCACTTGGACATTAACCTAATAGCTAGACAGATAAGTGACCAAAGCCCTGATTGGCAAGACTCAGTACACCATGATTACTTAAGAAAGTTCCACAAAAGAGCTCATAATAACCCCTAAATTTAGAAATACTGAGGACAACCCACTTGGATCCCCTTCCCTCTCCGGAGCTTTATACTTTTGCTCAAAACACTTTGCACTGGTGCCCACCACTCTTTGTCTGGTCTACCTCTTCATTCTTTGAAGCAGTGTGACCAAAAACTGTGGGCACTAAGGTGTCACAAAATCCTGTAACATTAAGGTCCCTGATTTCTCTGTGACATATTCAGAGATAACTATCCCCTGGGGAGAATGGATTTTGTGCATGTTCAAGGAGCAGACAAAATTTTCTCTTTGAAGGTAGATATGACCTGCCTACAAACTAACTGAAACCAGGCCTGATTTGACCTGACATCATCATCATCTATCCTGAGAGTCAACATGTATAGCCCCTAGAAGCATTCCAATAGACACAACTGTTACCATTGCTCACCAGCTCTCTGTGACTGTTGTGAACAAACAAAACAAAACACCCACCAGAATTAAGGAATGTGACAATTCTTACCAAATGAGGACTGAGATTACATAACTACTAAGATCATTTTCCCCATAACATCCAACGTCCCCACACCTTCACAATACTATGGCTTTCCAGTTTCTGTTTTGGACTATTCTGTGTGAGGGCATTATCAACTTACTGGATACTGGATAATCATCACTGGAAATGGCAAAAGAGAGAAAAGACAAAGAGACGGATTGATCCTTATTAGGTTAGAGAGGGAAAGCTTTTCTGAAAAGGAGGGAAAATGTAAACTGAGATCTAAATGACAAAAAAAGGAGTCATACAAAGATGAAGGAAGAGCATTTCAGACAGAGAAGAACTAGAACAAAGACCCTGAGGCAGAGTAACAGAATAGGACTTAGTCTGGATTTCCAGAACCCAGGCTGATTCAGAAGATTCTGTACCAAAATCAGTAAAACAAGATGGTGGAGGAGTAGGAGACCTTAGTTTCATCTGGTCCCAGGAATTCAACTAGATAGCTATCAAATCACTCTGAATGCCTGAACTCAACCGGAGATCTAAGAAAAGAATAGCTGCAACTGTACAAATAGAAAAGTGACCACTTTCTGCAAGGTAGGAAGTGTGGAGAAGTGAATGCAAGCCAATACATCAAAGATAAACCATGGGAGGAGGGAGCCTCTGTAAGCCAGCACGGGAAAGTGAGCAGCAGAGCGCAAAAGCAGAATTTTTAGAAGTCTGCTCCAGTGAGGGTCATCCATCCTGAAAGCTGAAAGGCACTCAGGTGGTGAAGCAGGGTGGAATCCTAGGTGGGACAGTGTGGTCTCGGGGTCCCTGGGGTCACAGGAGGCCGGGGCCGGGGGCGGGGCTGAGTGTGGCAGAGTTCCCAGGCATCGGAGCAGGGAAGGCTGCTGCAGTCAAAGAGCCTGGGACTAGGCTCTCAGCTCGGGGTTACCATACACTGCGAACTGGAGCAGGGTCCCAGTGAGCAGCAAAACCTCAGTGAGACTCCTCTTGTTTCACTGGGAGGAGCAGTTTGGGTGCGCAGGGCAGTACTCTGTAGGGTATAGAGACTTGAAACAGGGGCATATATAAACCTGAGAGAGAAATGCTTGATCATAGGCTGTTGGTGAGCAGGGCCTGCAGAAGGACAGCAGGGAGACAGGAGGGATTGACTGCTTTTCCCTGAAAGCACGCTGAGGAGGGGGCCCCAGCTCTCAGGCTGCGGAACTGGAGGTTGGGAGGCCTCCATTTTCACTCTCATCCTCTAAAGCTGCCCAGAAAGCCTTCAGGGAACAAAAGCCACGTGGAGCACCCCAGAGCCCCTTGTTTAGCTGGACCCCTGGTGAGGGGGGTGCAGTTCCGCAGGGGCACCTGAGAATCAATGCAACAGGCTCCTCCCCCAGAGATGAGCAAGATCATCCAGCCAAGACCAATTTACCGCCCTAACTGCAGAGCTCCAGCGCTGGGGGATATAGCAGAGAGAATTCAGGGGCTTTCCCCCCACGATCCTCTAGCCTTTCCATTTTAATATTTTCTCTTTCCTTTTTCAACTAATTTCTTATCAACTTTTTAAAAAATCTTTTAAAAAAAAATAAAATAAAAAAATAAAAAATCTTTTTTTTAAATTTCCATTTCTACAGTTACATTCTATCCTTTCATTGTACTTAATTTTATTTGTGTATATATACATTTTCCTTTCTTTACAATTTTAGGATGCACACTGAGGAGGGCACTTGACGGGATGAGCACTGGGTGTTATATGTTGGCAAATCAAACTTCAATAAAAAAATAAAAAATAAAAAATTTTAGGATGCAGTTTCTTCTAACAGACCAAAATATATCCAGAATCTAATGTATGACTCTCTTCTCTTTACCTGTCTGATCATATCCTCTCTTTTCTTTGTTATTTGTTAAAGTGTTTTAAAATTTTCATCTTTACAGTTAC